GCTTTTTGCTCGGCGGTACGGACGAGGGCGCGAGTCGACCCGGAGATCGTCTTTTGCGGATAAAATGTCGATGTCGTTAAGTCTGATAGCTGCCACGGAGAATAGCCCCGTATCTCTCCGACGCGTCGCATTTCTATATATAAAGTTGCGCCGACGAGGCGACGCGCGACTGCACGCGTCCTGTTTATACGCTGTTTCGATGTTAAACGTTAACCAATTCTCTGTTTACGCCAATGTTGCCCGGTGAAACGAGCGTGTTTCGTGCTCCGTGTACCAGGTCGGAAAGAAAATACTGCCCGGGGACGAATAAATTATGGATGCACGCGAAGGAAATGCAAACATTGCAACAAGTGCATGCACATATTTTTTTGCATAATATAGAGACGTTTAATTAAAGGGTTAGTCGTTCGATTTGTTCAGTTTTAAGCAGCTCCGACAGTTGTACCATTGAACGTCGTATTTCCTTCGGCGATTTTTCGGAAGTTAATGGAGGCAATTAGAGAACGTTGCGGTGAAAAAGTGCCGAGCTATGAAGCTCGGCGAGCGAGCCAGATCTCGCTTGTCAATTTTCGCTGGCCGATTCGATTGTCGCGAAAGTATCGTATGAAACGGTATCATATTGGAATATCGTTTATGCGTCTCTCTAAATCACACAAGCGCTCCTCCTCGTATTGGCGCCGCTTGTTGAACTCGGTTGCATTCCTATCGCGCTATGCAACGTAACATGAATTTGCCGGTATTCACGATATAATCACAAATTAATGACTGGTCAGCTTTATTGAAGTCCGCGTTGGGTTTTTGAAAATTTTGGAAAATTACCGAAGATCGATTCGAAATTGGAATTCTGCGATACGTCCGTTTACGAGCGAGCGTAGCAAGCAATACGATACACGCACGCACACAACCGGAATTATTTATTACAAGTCATAAAATCAAACAAGTTCATCATTATAGATTGTTGCCATATTATTACCATAAACCCGGAGTCATAATAAACTAAAATATACAACGAATAAAAAGATGGTTGCATTAATTGAAATTTAAAGATGCTTCATTTTAATGGGCCGTATAATCTTACGGTTGTAAGATGACTTAATTGGTCTGTGATTCGAGCATGTATATAAGCTCCGTAAATGTAACAGCTGTCTCTGGTATATTGATATGCAACATATATCTTAGGTTTATGGGGTTATTAAGGACTTCATCCGCGTCTCATGGTAGGATTACTACGTTATTATCCTTTGGTAAGTGGCAGGTTGGTCGGTCGGCTGGTTAGTTGGTCCCTTGTAAGGAAGGCCAAACATCGCCTCCTCCTTTGCCTCGGGTCCCTTGAGCTAGCGGGCGAACTAGTAAGACGTACGCCCTCCCTCAGAATCGTCTCGTGGAATGGAACCCAGTTGCGAGTTTGACCCTCGTAATTAATTTATAACCGGCGTTCTTGTTGCGAACCCGGTCGGGTAAGCAGAGAGTGGCTGACCTCGTACGATGCAGTTCTACTCGAGTTTTGGCCAATTAACGATACCGCTCGAAAACAAACTTATTCCCGCTTTCACGCGTAATCGACGCTCCCCCTTCCCGCTATCCCACTCTCTATCGTTTCCATTATTCGCTTACCGAATTTCATCCAAGAAATTGTAGTTGGAATCTCATTCGAAACCCCCGGAGGATTTACGGACGATTTCTCAACGACTGCGCGAAATCTCGCCGTTCGTGCGTCGTAAAATCTTAGCTTCCAGCGATACTTTGATCATTAAATTGGAGGAGTACAGCTCGTGACGCGACGGCCGAACAGGCATTACGTGCACGAAACTCTTACCCGTATCCTGCGTACCGTCCGTTTCCGCGAGATTCCTTTAATGCCACGGCCCCGCCGCGCCGCAGTGAGTACATGCTTTGTACACACGTAGTCTCTCAGTACTTATTAGAGACCTAACACAAATTCGAGGCGAGGATTGTTGGAGGGCGGGAAGGGGCGAGTGCGGCGCTGCCGGGATGGAGGAATCCATAGATCGCGGGGCTAACAATCAGCCGTAAATTATGGTCTCAATATCCATTGTGTACCCTCCTTGCTCTCGAACGAGCCTAACCCCAGAGTCTAAGGCCAAGACTACTCACCCCCCGTTAGCAGACAGGCACACCGGTAGAAGCACAGCGAGAGAGGGTCGGTTGGCTCTCTCACGGCCCAACTGAACCAAGAGATATGTATATTAATGGGGCAATCTTACATAGTTTTGTTTACCTTGCCATTCTCTTAGTACGTATACAATTACTATCCCTAGCCCCAACGGTATGCTTAGTACAAGGGCTGACTGCCTCCTCCTCCTTGGTTTCTCCCTCCTCGCGCTTCTGGTCTGGCCTCCTCTATGAAACTATCAGCCATGTATGCACGTTCGGAACAATTAATCGGTTGCCAACTAGTTGCCACGATGTTTTATGCAAAATTTCTTAGCACACAGAACCGATAAAAGGAAAAATAATGTATTCTGTATGCATTAATGAGTAAATATCATTTCTTTTTCAAATTTTTTTCGAGGAAATCCGGTTCAAGTTCGAGTTAGTTAAATGCTAACAACGTATAACGTTTTAATCTGCATGTGGTTAATTTTCATGCAAATGAAAGAAAAAATGAATATTCCGTCTTCAAGGAAATCGAGCCAAATGAACTGTGAAACGAGTTCCCATTTGTATCAGTGTTTTCTATTAACATTTGCTGTTGATTAACTAACGGATATGCAACGAAGGGCGCACTGACTAAAAGGGTTATTTCCTGGAAAGAAAGCGTGTAAAAACATGTGCAGGGCAATATTGACGGAAGAGGGAAGCGTCTCGATAAAAGCGGGTTCCGTTCTTGAAGGGTTTAAACGGAAGCGGGTCGATGGAAATCCCATTCTACGGGGCACCGGGCTTTCAGCAAAGAAAATATTGTCCGCGATACGAGCGATAGCGGAGCAGAACTTTTTCACCTTTCGTTCCCCCTTTCGTTCCACCTTTTCGTTCACCCTTTTAATTCCGGTACGTGGCTGAGCAGGACCGGCTTTGTAGCAGCCGGAATGTACATTTCTCTCGCTGAACAACCTCATTTGTGTAATCCCCGAAGCTTCGACAACAAACTGTCTGCGGGATCGTAGCGTCGCGTCGTTTGAGGGGGTGCGAGCATGACATTAACGTACTTTGTAGTTCAACTCTCTGTGGCATTTATCACCATCGTCTCTCTTTTCATCCATCGACCTGTCTCTTTTTCTATCTTCATCTACCCCTCCTTCGCGTCGTTCCACCCTTGCGCTCGCTTTTCCATCCTGCTCGTCGCTTCATCGTCCTGGATGAAATTGCAATTGTAATAGCAATTATCTTATTTCTACTATTGCTTCTTTGTACTTCGATTCGCGACGTACGGAGGTTGGCGGTGATGCGAATCAGAGAGAGCGGAGCAACGTTGAATCAACTCGACAACGGCACGGGGCAACCGGTCGGAGAGGGATAAAAAGATGGGCGAATGGAATTAAACGTTGTTGGCGGGCTGGCCACGCTCGTGACGCAATTTACGTCGTGTGGCCGTTTACTGGGGCGGAATGACGAGTCTTTTAGTTGAATATTGCCAAGCGGTTCTCTCGACGGTATTGTTGCATTTTTCGTTCGTCAATTATTAGCCGGAACAGACGTGACTTCTCTAGCAAAGGACTCGCGGAATTGACTCACCAGCGCTAAACGATACGCTCCGTTTGCTCCTCGTACATCGTGAACGAACGTTAACATTTATTTCAATCTTGTATAAAATTGGAGGCAAACGAGAAATTATAATTGAAAGTTTTCTAAGCGAAGTCTGTGCTACATTCTGTGGTCGTCTTTTGAGTAGGTATCATTTATACAAAACAGGAAAATAGCATTGGCAAAATGTGAAGCAAAGTAGAACGGTCACTCAGATGGAGTGGTGAATCTGATGGAGATGCACAAATGAAAAGCCTGCATTGCGACGCTGGCTAGAACGATGTACATACATAGATAGGAGCAGAGGGAGTAAACGTAGAGGGTTGGTTTGCAGAACGTAGAAGCATTTCATTTGAATGCAAGACGGATGAAAGAAGCGGTATGCTGACGATCGACAGAATTGCTGTAGCCAACGAGGTCTCGATTCACACTACACGAATAATACGAGGCCAAGCTAAAATTCGTTCGAAGTAATCAATATCATAGCTTGCGAAGATGTATGTATGCGAGAGAATGTAGGCAAACATTGTATACACGTGCATTGTAACATGGCAATAGGGGAAGGAGATTTCGGGGTGTAAGAAGGGTGTAACAGGGTGGGCAGGGGGGCTATAAGGGGGGCCGGATAGGAGGCAGAAGCGCAGAGGATGGGTACCGGGAGTTGGAGCTAGAGGTGGAACAGAAGGGGTTGAAGGGGGCCGCGAGGTTCATACAGCGAGGGCTCCAGCCCGCGGGGGTGAAACCGGGGGGAAGGAAAGGGGTGGACAGCCGGACAAACAAAACCCTTGCTGCTTCATTTCTGCCCGTCTGGCCAGACACCGACCCTTTATACGCGCGCGCTTCCGTCCTACGCTCGGCTCGTTCATTCCTTTCCTCCTCGACCAGTTTCACCGGAACCCCTCAATGCTTCGTCGAGTTGTACTCTCGGTACGTTACTTTTCGAGTTCGTTAATTAACGGCACCGTCGCCTCATTGACGAGCTCTCGCGTCCAGTCGAAGGATACGTCGGGATGGCTTTCGACGAGCCGCGGCACCCTAAAACGCGGACACATTGTCTTCGGTTGACGGGAATCGAGTTTCAACCATGAAAGGTGATGGCACTCGGTTCGGGACACGTGATCGTTCTTAAATGATTTAGAAAAAAAGTAGGATCAGTTTACTTGAACAACCACGATAATTATGATAGATGGTTGGATTTTTAATTTACCCACGTGAAACACAACATCCTTTAATTTCCTCTGCTGTCCTTTCGATATTAATTCTTAATTTCATTTTGGTTTCGTTTTTTTCTTCAGGTCAGTGGTGTATACTTCCCAAGCTTCTGAGACAGAGTGACATGGCTTGTTAATGTGAGTTAAATAATTTTTTTATGCGCGCAACATTTTTTCTCTTTTTCTTTACCAGATATATCGTAAATTTCAACTACCGTTCTTCTTTTTTTTTATTAATATATCGATCCTAACGGCGCAATATTATTTTTGGACAAGTTCCAAAACAAAGTACGTAAAACCGTTTGAGACGGAAAGAGAGAGGGTTGAACGAGCGCGTGGGGTCGAAAGCACGTTTTACTCCCTGTCGTTTTAGGGGATGAACGATGCGAGACATCGATAATCGCATTTGTTGTACGACCGTCGATACGAAACTTTCGGAATTTCGTTCGGCCAAGAACCGAGGGAAGTTTATGACTCAGGAAGTATTATATTATTCGAATATTCCTATATAGTCTCCTTCCATCGTATTCCCTTCCACCCTTTCGACTTCCTAATATCTAATATTCCCTCTGTTCTTCTCTGTTTACAAGCAAAATTTTTTTACTCAATTTTTCTTTGCCACGGACAACGGCAAGCTTTCCGCGGACAATGGCCCGAAGAAACGACCTCGAGAAATCTCTGTTTTTCCGCGTGCATTCCACCGAGCTTTAATTGCGAAAAGCGAGAGACCGGAAAGCGCGGAAAACGTGAGCGCAACAGCGTGGTTTATTTCCCACCGTGGTGTTGCGTACTTTTTTTATGCCTCTCGCTCTGAAGAACACTCGGCGCCAAAGTGGGAGCTAATAACATAAATGAGGAACACAGGCGCGTTGCTTCTTTCTTTTTGTTCTCACACCACCGCCGCACGCGCGCGCGTTTTCTTTCTTCCGTTCGTTTTTTCGCCGGCCGGGCCAGCCGCTCCGCGTATAAAGTGGCGAATATGGGGGGTGTGAAATGCATGTCGGTTTCACGGGGGTTGCCGGGCGTAATAGCCGGGGACAGAGACGCGGGGTGGAGGGCGCTGGAGAGGAGAGGTCGAGAGTCCTGGAACGGGCTCTAGTTGCAGGAGTCAACTTGGCGCTCATTGGCTACTTGCTGGCGACCGCCACTCGCGAAACATTAGTATTCTCTGCTAATTAAAATGTAACTGAAATTGTAATGGTCTGCGTGTGGCGACGATACGCCGGGAGAATATCAAGGGGATGAGAAGCGGCCGGTACCGCTTGGCGAGCGTCACACCGTGCACCACGGTAACGGACGATGTATACTTTTTCATGCTCGGTTTGTGGACTGAATAGAGGAAAACGTCAGACCGTTCTGCGAAAAAAGACCGCGTCACGCCGCGATTGTTCCTATTACTTCTGACTCCGGTGTATTATCGTGAACGATAACGATAACGCGGCATAGAGAGACTAAATTTAGTTTAAATATATGGAAATCAGGAGCGTTTTATAAAATTTTATTATCAAAGGTCACGCAGGAATATTTATACGTGATATTGTTGTATCTATAGTGTGATGCAGTAAAATAGTGTTTTCTGCCTTTGACTATTAAGTAAAAGAGTACATACTTTTTTGACCTTTTCAATACAGAAAAGTATTTAGTCGAAAAATTATTTTGAAGAACGCTATAGTCCTCCAGTGATTTGTAAAATGAAAAATCACGTTTAGTTTCCTGATAGTATTCGAACTACCTCTCAGTCTTTAAATCACATTATCCTCGAGACGCCCTTTTCATCTCTTTCCCGTTTATCTCTTCACTAGGCTCATCTTTCGCTCTTATTTTATTTGTTTCGCTTATCCGCGCCGTTGTGGAACGGCTCGCGCAGATTTCGCGGCAATTTACTTTATACGCGTTACGCCGTTTTCCGACCTCTCGCTTCCACTCGAGATTCCGTAGCCACCCTAACGCAACACGGCGGTAGGTATCGTTCCATTCGACTCAGACCGCCCTTCTCACCCTTACGACGTTCTTATGGGACCCACACTAAGGCTACGGTGTACACAGAAACCCGCGAGCATGTGTGCCTGGTTCTATCGTTGGGCCACCCCCGGGGTGTTGAAGCTCCTCTGCACTTATTTCGTGCTAATTCACCCCTCAAGACCGCTTACACGCCCTCCCCCTACCACGGGCATCCACGGCCACGGCGAACCAGTTAGCTTTTTTTCTCACGTGCCGTGAAGCAGTTCTCGTTAAGCGGTTAAGGGTGAACTCTGGTAAAGAGGGGTTGTAAATTCATTGACTGACGAAAATACTCCCGACGGGATTCCCGGAACGGAAACATCTTTCGCGAGCTTCTTCGGTTTCATCGATGCCTCCCCGATTATGTATCATACGAGAGGTAATGGCATGTATATGAGTTCCATGTTTAAACGTAGTCATTGTCATCGAACTTGATCGATCTTGTCGTTTACAGAATTTTATCAATCTACTTTTTCCCTGATTCATGCTCATATAAAAAATGTACATTAGTGGAATACATATTTGCATTGAACAGTTGATAGGAACCAACAAAGGGAGGCTCAAAATTTTCGTCGTAAATAAGCATTACGATATAATTTTCTGTCACAACAATGGCTGCCGGTGTTACAAAAGGTTTAGCCACGAGGCGACCGTCGGCTACTACCTCGTGGACAATGAGAACGTCCGCGTTACGCCATAAATTGATTTGCGAAAGCGTTCCTGAAAAAGCTCTCTTCTTTCACCGAGGAGAGGAGAGCCAGTCCGCCGTGTGGCCTGCCCGAGCGGCGGCGGGTGGGGTTACCCGGGCTTTTGAGCTTATACCGCAAAAATTACGTCGCGAGAGAGATTGTATTTATGTTACATAATTACGCCACGCGCGACCAGCGGATAGAAAGGGCGCGGCTGGCGGGGGTAGTTATGAAGGGGGTGGGTGGTGCGCGAGTAGGAGCCGGCAAGGGGTGGAAGCGGCGGGAGGGTAGAACGAGGAGGAGGAAAAAAACCGCCTAGTCGAGGAAAAGTTTTTCGGCGGCTGGCTCGAGCGACCGACCACCCGGCTAATGAATAGAAATAATTCTCGTGCAATTGTGCTTTTCGGTAGTTTTCAATTAACAGTCGCCTCCCCCACTCCTTTTCCGCAAAAGCTTTTGCGAACCATTCTCCGGGAGCGCCCTTCCACGAATACCATTTCGCGAATGGACGAGCTGTAAGTTTTTAAACGGCGCGATTCGTAGATTGTAATTACAACATTTTTTCTCTTCGTTCCTCTTCGCTGTTCATCGCCATTGTGTTCTCGGGGAATTTCTGCTTTATATTACATACCCTTATTAGAGGTGAACAATGTTCTTTCCACAATAGAATAGCAAGAAGTTCTCGCTGTGCGTAGCCTGTTCGTAATACGAACCCGTAAGGGTGTTCTCGCGAGTGGAGGAAATCCGTGTACAAGGAAAGGCTATCGGGAGCCATCCCAGGATGTGTCGTCGCGGGAGCTAGCCCGGAATCCCGCAAAATAAATCGCGTCTCACTGTCAGTGATCCTTGGTAATATTTGTCTTTCGCCGGGCCATTTTACAAGATTTCCTATCTACTCGGCTTTATAAGCAAGGAATACGAGGAATCGGCCGAACGGCCGTGAGGGGTGACTCGGACACAGGAGCGGTGAGCCCCCGTCGTCAGATGGGGGTTGGAAAGGGGTGGCGACGGTGCTCCGTGTGATTCCCTTGGCTGGGCTGGCAGAGAAACGGGATGGCTAGTAGCGGTGGTGTAGGTGGAAGGGTAAGAGTACACGGGACAGGGTCCCGCGGGATAAAACGGGCTATCAGATGTGAAACCCACTGCGTCGAAATGTAAAAGCTTCCTGACAAATCGGTTTCTATTACCGCGTCGCGGTGGGTCGCCTTTTTTATATTGATGGCATTATTTTCCACGGAGACGGGAGACCGTATTTTCTGGACACGTACGGTATTCTCCGGCCCGGCGAGGTACACACGGGATCAACCCCACGCTTATGAATCCTCGTTATTTGCCTGGGAAATTAATGTGCGCTTACCACGTAGCTGCGGTACGGCCGAGGCCAGTATATCAAAGAAACGGACTGACGTTCGATAAAATTGGTTATTATTACCCCTTCTTATTAAGTCCTCAAGGGGTTGCGCGCCCTGCTCTCGTCAGCTGCTTCGTTTTATCCACTTTTAAATTGCCGTTTCTCGTCACGTGACCAAGTATAGATAGAAAAAAACGTAATTGTCTGGTGGATATAATTCTGTCCCTTTGCAAGACGTAAATTCGTAAGATACTTTTCTGCTTTTTAACGAAAAAAACAAAACGCTGATTCAAGGGTGGTTAACCAACGTATCATAGCGTTACCCCGTAGGAGGTGAAATCTTTTCGTCAGACAAAGGCAGCCCCGATGTCCTCGAGGATTCACAGTCACGTGTCCCTAACAAAAAAGTAAGAGCGCGTACGTGGGAAGAGACGGGTGGGTGGTCGGAGACCGTTGGGCGAACGGGCCGGAGGAGGGAGGGGGGGTGGTCGGTTAAAAAACATCCGAAAAGAGTTCCGTGGGGCTCGATGGTGTGAGAAGGTGTAGCCAGACAGTCAGACAGAGGAGTCAGACAGACAGACATGCGGGAAGGAATGAAAATAATAATACCCAGCGTGGCCCAGGGCCATAGGTGTCAGTGCCGGTAGGAAGGAAGGAAGGACAGGAAGGAGCGCGTTGAATTTGTCATATGTAAGTTTTCACTCTCTCTCCCGGGCCGAGCACACGCACCAGCGAACCCCCGTGCAATCCTCTTGCTCCCTCTCCTGTAGACCGACCGCCCGCCGCCCGTACACCACGTATCGTCGTCCGCGAGAGGATTGTTTCAGAAAGGTGCCAGAAATCGGAGGGACCACGTCGTGATTCGGGTCCTTTGCGATGCAACCGCCATCCCTTCTGCGGATTTCTCGCAGTGCGTTAAAAAATGTCTCCCGGGTATATTGAGATACTGTCACCGAATTTTCTCTCCGCAACCCCTTGAGATCGTGCCTTGGCCCGTGGACACACATGCGTTACTTTCATCCCCTTTTTTTTTCAAGGTCGTTGAACCAAACACCTATCTACCCACCCACGTGTCTCACTCTCCGCCCGAGTTCCCT